CATGAGTTCTGCAGGCTGCATCTAGGCCAAGGTCAACTAGATTGAAGAGTCTGCAGGCAGGATGAATATTGTTATTAGCATGATATGTTCAGCCGTAATCTTAATCATAATATCTTCCGAGGCTTACTGTTCGGACATGTCCCTGAATGTCCTGTATGTTTTTAGCTACACACCACATGATCAACACTCACACACATTGATTCTCTCCATGTTTTGACTACTGCTACGGTCAGCTGTAAAGATGGCATATCAGGTGACGCCACGGTTTGACGTTCCTGGGTAGAATGGGGCTAGCCCAACCGAAGAGATAAATGTATAGGCCTGTTGTGGTTCAGGGTCTTTCATTCTTCATCTGCCTGCGCGCAGTATTGGAGGTGGAAGATACCTGGACGTGTAATGCTAATTTTACCTGTGATTATTTGAATAAACCAGCACGGTTTTTTGTATACACTTGGACCGCCTTGTCTCTCTGAGTTCCTGGTTAAGAGAACTGGAAAAAATAGCTTTCACCCATTAAACCTCCTTTTTTACTAGCACCTGGGTCAGCATACTTGAGTCCTGCCTCAGTTCTCCCTCACCCTCCTGGTGAGGGGGACTAAAACATAACACAAATGGCCAATAGGATTACAAAGTGCGAAATGTTGCACCTCTGTCCAGGGCGGACCTAGCCCAAGAAGATAAATGTAATGAGAAAACGTAACTCGTGGTTCAGAGAACGGATTTCCTGCGGGAGCTCTGTCTCTCTGATCCCAGCACTGTATGGCGTCACCTGTGCCCAGACTTTAAGTAAACTTCCTGTTGATTTTATACAGTCCTCTCCTGTCTTCACTTCTCGTGCTTTCAGTAAAAGAACCGGGTAAAGATCTAACAGCGGCAATTGTGGCCTGGATTCGGGGAGATAAGGAAGTAGGATGGATAGTGATGGCCCTATGACACTCGAGGCTCCGACACATGCGTGGTAGCTCATAAAGCAGTTGTTGTGCTGTACCGAGGCGTGTTTCGGTCAGTGACTAGTGACGTCCGAAGCAGTTGGGTTCGTCAGATGTCAGGTGAATCAGCTGATTGGTTTGGTTTGTCATGTGAATCACTTTGGATCGATTGTGTTCAGAGATAGGATATCCCTATTTAGTGGCGTTCATTTAAATCTGTCTTTGCAGAGCAGGTTGGTTTGTTGCTGTTGTGTTAGTTGCTTTGAGAGTTAGTGTTGTAGCAGATTGTGTATTTAGTGGAGAATCACTGTAGATAGAGA